TTTTCCGGAAGAGGAGCGTCATGATGCACATCATGAAAACAAAGCGCACACCACGTCGGGTCAGTAGCAACGCTATTGTACTGGCATGCCACCATGGTTCACCAGAACATGCCCATGTAGCTGGGCACTGCAATCGAAGACCGGAGTTTCCACCTGCCATCTTTGGCGTGAATGCAATCATAGTAATGGGAGGCTGCTATGTCCGCGTACACGCCGCCGCGGGGTATAGTGCAATGCTGTTGCCGGAGACGAGCAGAGCCACCAATGCATACCGGGCGGTCCGTCCGAATTCCACCGAACTGCGCTGCAGATTGGATTGCCGCTTCCTGAGAATGGAGGCTGCCCCTGCAGTAGAATCCCATCGGAGGCAACCAGACTTCGTTCCAGTTGGAGCATTCACGATTGGGGGAAGGATGTTCTTGCCACTTCGAAGGTCGGATCAGTTCCTCATCACGCAGGATTTGCATGGCAGCCTGCATATTGGTGTTATGGGACCAGAAAAATGTGGACTGCGATTGAGTGCGATGCTTGTCCGGCAACGATCGGCGTGGCTCAAATGAGAAGATGATCCCAAAGAGGTTCTTCTGCGAGTTCTTTTTGTCCGCGGAGAAGTGGTGAAACGTCCGTGTGGTTCTGCTGATATATGGCCACTTCTCCTCGCAAATGCCGAGCTGGACGATGAGTTGCTGCGATAGTGACCGCCATGAGATCTGGAAGAAGTCCGAAATGTCCTTGACCACTTGATCCGTCCAGCGTCCCGGAACCCCATGTGGTGGCTGAGCAAACGGAAACTCCGAAATGGATTTGACCCGCTGTTCATCTTCGATGATACTGCGTCGGTGCGGCATGAGGCTCCTGTAGACCGACTCCCATGATTTCTTCAACAGCTCTGGTTCAGGAAATACCAAGGCGGCAATCGAAGGCAAGGTGTAGTAGAGGACATCATTCACTTCGATGGCAATCTCCTCGATCCGGCACCCAGTGCGCAGCTTGAAGCGATGAATCCCCAAATCAGGCACCTGCCGACGAACTGGGAGAGGCACCAGCGCGATGCGGTTCTCAGAAGGACTGCCATGAGCAGGAGGAAACGGAGGCGAGCGTGGCCTCCTTTGATCACTATGGGCGCGTCTACCACTACTCCTCCATTCACCCCAATCCTCCTCCTCATCCGAATGCCCTTGCGGGCCCGGTGTGAGCTGGATCCGCGGAACTCGTGATCGGGGGGAACGCGATCGGGGCTGCCCAGTGAGTGCTGGTACGTCACGTGACGGGCCGTGGGATTGCACACTTTGCTGGTGTGCTATGCCGTGAGTCCGAATGAACATTTGGATCTCATTGCCGTTGATGAAGTTGGGGAGGTGCTCGAGCGTCACGCGGCTCGTGGTTTGTACTGATCCGTCAGAACGCAGAAGGCTGGTGACCATATATTCCGCCATGGTTCTGAGCCAGCTACATGCAAACAAAGCACAATGCAACAACAACTGTCTCAAGCATGCACAAGAAGAGACAGAATGACAAGCTCACATGCAGATTTTGTCCCGAGTCGACGCCGAACGTCACGCAGAAGGTGGGATTCAAAACCTTTGGCCTCATAAAGGCGTTTGAGAGCGTCGAGCCCATGTTGTTGCTGAACCGCCGGTTGTGCACCGCGTATGATGAGCCACGAGCGAGAAGACCAAGAAGAATAAGTGAACATCTGATCATTGGCACTCCGAATTCCTTTGATTTGGGAGGGATGATCAGGTAGCTGTGGTGTAATAGTTCTGGAGGAAGAATCACATCGGTAACCCAGTACTTTGTCATCATGTTGGACCTCAAGCATTACTGGCGGGCGATAAAATTCCAGGGAAAGAAAGTTCATGAGCACGGGCGAGTGTGGAGCTTAGTCTCGAAGGAGAATGAAACGATTATCTACGTAGCGCTCATGCCAAATCACACCAATGTCGGGCATGCAGAACCGCAAAGAACTCATGGTTTGGTGCCAGAAGAAATCCTCAACCGTAGCGACCAAATTGCACAACGGTGGCGCGGCTGGTGATCCCATAGCGACTCCTCGTTCTTGGCGGAACAAGTATCCGTTGATCTCGAAGTGACTGTTGTCAATGACAAAGTCCAGAAGGTGCCGGAGATCTTGTTCACGAAAAAATTCGAGGGATCTTGGTTTGACGGCGCCACTTTCCTTTGAACATACGGCGTCGATGATCTGACTTGACTTCGTACACGGACCATTGTGAGGAACTGCGAAGGCCAACAACTTGATCGTATCGATGGAGAAGCACTTGAAGCGCCTGGTGGAATCGTTCCGTAGGAATGGACGTGAAGAAGCCTGACAGGTCTTGCGACACCAGGTGGATGTACTCATCAGGATCTGCTTTTGACAGTGCTTCCCACAGCTGCTGGATAAGTTCTTGTACTGAAAGTTGACCTGCAATGTCGGGGAAGGCAGCCTTGGTAAGTTCAAATATGAGTGCACCGAAGACCGTGAGGAAGGGAGCTGCCCATGTGCGAAAGAATGAAATGATGGGTCGAGCTTTCTGCCAGTCCTTGGTCGGCTTTGGGAGGATGCGTGCTGTGGGCAACGGTGCTTGAAGTCGAAGTCCCCATGCATATCGTTGACGTAGGAGAGAAGGTACCGTGGTTACCACTTCAGAGCGAAAGGATGCTGCGGATTCGCGACAAAGTGAGAAGACGTCCCCCGAGCAGAATGTCTTTCGCATCAGTATGGCAAACAAGGACGGGCACATCACATGTGCGCGGGAGGGAAAATGATCTGCTGGGATAACAACCCACGAAGACAAAGAAGCCACAGTGCGTTGCAACGATAACGATGACCAATAAGCCCGATCTTGGAGGTTCATCCGATGAGTGTCCATTAACTGAGTCACAACCGGCTGTAGATCTGAAAGGAGACTGGAACCATGTACATGCCATCGGCGAGCAAGTTTGCGAAGCTGTGTGGTGAAACGTTGATGCAATAAGTCGACATCACCGAAAAACTGATCCTTCATTGAGGCGGCCATGATTTCAACGTCAATGTCCGCATTGATGCGAGAAAACTCATCCACCATTACAGCGTGACCATGTGCACGGTGTAGATGGTGATCATCGATGTCCAGACAGCGACACGGAAAGGATGTTTCAGGAGTCCATTTGCGCTGCCATGTGCGGTAGTTGTATATCTTGTCGCCCAATGTGGCGCTGCGAGTTTCCACAACCCTGATCTTTGGAATGAAAAGAGAAGGGAACAAATCCCGATGAGAAGCAATCCAGCTTTGTAACCATGTGCCAAGTAGAGCTTTCCAATTCCGGACATGTAGCGGCGGTAAGAGTAGCTGTGTCAAAGTGGTGGGTGGTTGTAGCCGTCGTTTGCGCAGCACCTGGGCGAGGAGTTTCTGCGCCTTGGAGCGGAAGGGCTCGTTGACAAAGACTGCGAGCCGCAATAAGTAATACAGCTGAGTGGGAGGGAAAGCCGCCGACAGTAGGTCACGCATGACTTGGAACGACGCTCCTGTATTAGATCCCAGCTGATAGAGAATCGAGTAATGGGCTTGGACGTCATCCTGGATGTGAGGTCGTAGTTGCCGTTGGAGATCCGGATGTAGTCGTCGTCGAAAGCGCTTGTGCAAGCTGAGGGAAGTGGGAGACGACAGCGAGTGGCGTCGAAAATCCACAAGATGTTCCCGGAAGCCCACCTTGCGCAAGATTCTGTGTACCCAGGGCGCATTCAAATGCGGGCGTAGCAGGTATTGCCATTTGCTTTCTTGAACCCACACCGAGGAAACTGGTAGTTTGATTTCCACTGGTATAGCACAGAAGAGCCAGTAAGTATTGGATCTTTTCCAGTAGTGAAGCGCTGGTTCAAAGAAGGCATGCCGTCCACGAAGTAGTTGTAGAAATTTGCGACTGCGTGAGTGTTCACGACGTAGAACATCCTGATCAGTCGCCCCAACATAGTATGGTGTGTGCCATGGGCAAAGTCGAATGTAGACGCACGGTTGTTGGTGATGACCTGGATCATGTATGAAGTCATAGAGGTCAGGAAGTCGCGCCCGCAATGAGCGTAGATGCCGCGTGTCAGCGAAAGTAGAGTGCATGATTTCACACAAGAGAGAAGTCTTGTAGAAGTGAAGGACTTCAAAGAACGGTGGGAAGTAGCCGTGATCTTGTGAAATGAGACGTTGTAAGAAACTAATCAATAAATAGGCAGTGCACCGACATCTGTGAAGCTCGTACCTGTTGGCCACGGTGTGCTGAGAGTTTGACATAGCGTGATTCGGAATCTGAAGGGCTATCCGGACCACAACTAAGACCTCGAGGATGAGACCCAGCCACGGCAATTGTGTGATGGATTCGTACTCCTCAGTTGGAATCGACGGTGGTGGTAGTCCAGGAAAACAGTACTGCCAGCACGTAGAGAATATGGTCAACGAGTGCAGAAGGTCGTCCAGCGACTGCCATTGTGCAACATCATCATAGATTTCGCAGCGGCGAAGTTCATCCAACATGGTGAGATGCAACCAACGAAATCTACCACAAGGCGGCGACATGAATACAAGCATCACAGACAATCACACAAGAGACAATGCAAGAACGAGCAAGTACAAGATCAATCTGGTGCAACGCAGACACTTGACGGACGAGTTTTCACCTGGACTCATCCGTGACATTGTTGCCGCTCCGGGCTCATATGAGAACGAAGGTCATCATGATGCCTTCTCATCCACACAGTAGACGAGCCGTCACGATGAGGTGACTCAATGCCTTCTCAGTGAGTTTGGTAAGATAGCCGGGTTCTAATCCCCACGAAGCTGCCATTGCCCCGAGCGTGGGCGCGTCGCCTTTCGGCATGCGTTGCCGCGCCTGAAGGAGCTGCGTCGCCATAGAATCTAATGACTTGTTGCCGTTGAGCCGGGTCGGGTGATTGGCCCACTTAACCAGCGATGCCAAAGTGGTTGTTGTGGGTGATTGCTTGAGAAAAAGGCGAGGTTGGTCACTGGTCCATGTGTAGTACTTGACAACTTCATCCGGCGTGCTGTTCATGGTGAGCAATTGTGACGCCGCCGGTTTGGACGGCGGTGACGACACTCCGTGAAGAGACTGGATGATCCGAGGTTGCACCACGCTATCAAACGACTTGCCATCCAGGGCGGCTGCGCTGGCTGTGGGAAGGGAGCTGGCAGGTGACGAGGATGGTGTGTGGTTGACCGGTGGCGGTGTAACCAACTCTGCATCATCCTTCTGGCTTGTCATCGTGGGAGAGGTCGATGCGCGAAGTGATGCGGAATACTGAGCTTGGAGAAGTTCGTGGGCACGATTCAAATCATTGAACTTTTTGACCATGTCCTCGGTCTGGGCGGCAGGTGCGAGAGAGGTGTGATGCTGTTGAAGAAATTGAAGCACCAAGTTGGCCAAATGGTCATGGACCTTGATGCGCTGATTGAAGTCATCGATGTTGAGACCCAGCGTGTTGGCAAGGTCCTTTTCCAGGGTGAGCAGGTTGAGTGACTGTGATCTTCGTAGTAATTTGGAACAGGTACTCCAAAGTAAGGCCTCGGTGCGGGTGCGAAAGCCTTCCCACGTCACGAATCGGCCATGTGCAAACGGCCTGAGTAGCCAGTTGGTGAGGCCCCCGTGGATAACCTGAACCAGGCGTACGTCCCTAATATCCATGCCTGACAGGTCGCGAAGGTTGCCATGCGGAGTGTTGGCAACAGTCATGGGCAGGCTGAAGTTGTAGAGCTGATTGACATCAAACATGCCATCTCCAGGTGTCCAGTCAGGCGAGGGAGTAAGCCAGGCTTTCTGAGGACGAACCGGTAGAGCCGCAGGAGGTCCAGGTGACGGTGTAGGTTGGGAAGTAGTAACCGGTGGTGGCATCACTGGTGGCATGAACTTGGATGGCGTGGGATCTGGAGGGATCGGCATCATGTAGTTGATCGCTGGGTATTGGAATTGTTGTGTGGGATTGTGAGTCGATTGAAAGTTGGTAGGCATCATCGGAAAGTTGTTGGCAGCGTTGTAGCCGGAGTTGTGTTGCCATGAAGCCAAGTTGTTCCAATCCATGTTCTCCGAGACCTGGTTGTCATTGTGCTCACGTCGGCGTGCTTTGTGAGCTTGAGGGGACGGACTCCGATCACGTCTGCGCCGAGTCCTGGATCTATCACGATCATCACGTCGAGACATGGTGACTCAACTGACTCTGAATCTGCACACTTCCACCTTGAGAGAATCGGACCCGACAACATTCAAATCAATGCAAATGCAAGTTAACGGCCCCAGCTGCAATGGTCGATCGACATGTTCAAGGCAAAGCAAATACAAATCAACAATCGTCAACCGCAATAATACGAGCAACAAGTTCAACCAATGGTCAGCAAATGCAATGAAAGTCGGCAGCCAGCCGCTGTGGTGAGACGTCACTATGGTCTGGTGGCATTCTTCCCTTTAGTGAAACCTCGTTCCTGGTTAAATGTGAAATTCCGCTGTTCTATGATAAGCACGTTGAGGTCAAATTTTCCGACAGAGCCGGCCCGGGGTCACACAATGGGTACACCCGAGGATTCCCCACGAATGGGGTGTACACACTTAAACTCCAGATGGAGAGTGCTAATCTTTCGAGTACAACTGGTGAGTCTCGAGTACAACTGGTGAGTCTCGACTGGGTTCTGCTCGCGATGCACTCGGCTTCCCTCTAGCAGCGAACACGTTACCCGAAAGAACAAGAAGCACAAACAGCGCCGCAACCAAAGGGGCCAAATGGACTTTCAGAATCACGGCATCACGGAAATGCAGGTACGCCGGAGTGGCCAACTCCGGTATCCCGTCTTGCTGCCTAGCTTTGTTAGACCAGGTCAGCAGCAAGACGCCTGGTCCCCCTGCTGCAACAGAAAGAGGTTTTGGTGGCAGGGTTTTCTGCCACTCCGCACACACACACACACACACACACGCACGCACGCACACGCACACGCACACACGCACACACACACACGCACAAACACACACACACAGAAACACACACACACACAAACACACACACACACACACAAACACACACAAACACACACAAACACACACAAACACACACAAACACACACAAACACACACAGACACAGACACAGACACAGACACACACAAACACACAAACACACACAAACACACACACACACAAACACACACACACAAACAAAAACAACCACACACACAAACACAAACACAAACACAGTACCCCCAGTGAACATCCCAATCCCCACTAAAAAAGACTAAATTGGGTGATACACCTACCCCAAAACGGTACCAAAACAGTTTTGACCCACAGCCACCTAAGAAACGAAACTTGCCTCAAGGTGCGCTGGCGCACTGCCAAGAGAACCTCTGCCGCCGCCACCAGCCTGCGCCGAGGGACTTCCCGCTCGCATTCCCGCCGGTCTGAGTGTGCTCCCAAATCGCTGGGTGAATTATGATAGTTCACCAGCCTGACACTTGCGGTGGTTTGGGGGCTATTCCTCACATAAACCACCATTTGGGGTGAGGTCGCGTGAGGTCGCTAGAATTCACCCAGAAATTGGGCAGTGCCTTTGGGATGTGAGCAGGGTTGCTCTTTCCGCGAGGGAGGAGCGCCATCCGATCCCAACGCGCGTTCTGAACTTTGGGACAATTAGAACAGGGTTGCTCCAACTACTGTACCTTCACAAGGAACATGCGGCCGTGGGAAAGGACACAAAGCAAAACCAACAGCAAAGACACAAACATCACCCCACCAAAAGGAAAGGCCCTTGTATGGGACCCAACAGGTGACGTCTTAAGCATCCACAATCCCACCGTGCTCCATAGTTGAAATTCCAGCAATCAGGCCTTAAGTACGATCCCAACAAGGTATTCAATTCTGGGCTGTCCTCAGATTCCCTGCTGAAAGTTAACTTTTTATAGGTTAAACGGAAACCTCCACTAAACCAACTAAACATCCAAAAAACTTAAGGAACCGGATGGCTGGAAACCACCAAGGACTATTATTGTTTTGTTCCGGGATGATGGAGACACCTGAAAATGAAGCAAGCACATTTTGGCCTGGACATGGTGCCCGCGACACGGGACGTGTACTCCTCGTTCTTTGGAGATCCCTGGCCATCCGAAACGCGAAACCTGGACCGAAAGCCAGCTAAAACGGCTCGGCAAACGTAGGTCAAAACTGGGCGTGTCTTTGTTTAGGGACCCCCCCCCAAAAAAAAAAGAAGATGGTTGTTCAATTGGTGTCCCGTTAAACCAACCCCAAAAAGAGTACCATCGCAAAAGGCAGACCCAACTGGGTTCGGCGGTTGCTTTGTTCCCTGGGTTCGATGGCCGGTGATGGCCACATAGCGTACGGGAATCTATCAGCCAAGTGGAAGCCGGTGCTTACGTCCGGCAAGCTGATTTGAGGCCATGGGAAGCCCAATTGCTTTGGCCCATAGGAGGTTACCCTCCATCTCACTACCGTGGCACCCTACAGAGGGTCCCTTGAATAGGAACATTATCTTCCCGGCACCCTCCCGCAAATGCTATGTTGGTGGAGGGAAGGGTAGCTTCTGGTGACAAAAGGGTCCCATGGTCCGGCAACCATCCCGTGCGTTCCCTCAAGAAGCCCTTTACCAGACACAGGGGGAGGGGGGGGGGGAGGGAACGGCAACCCACCCATGGACCCTTGTCAACAGGACATTTGTCAACAGGACGGTGAGTTGCTCTTGCTGGAGGTGGACTTTAGTCATTTCGGCCTAAGGGAAGCTGATCGGACTGCGTATGCCGAACATGGCCGCTTAAAGTTGAGGGATGGCTCTGGGAAGCCAAAACGGGGTCCCACCCCCACAAAAAACACAACGAAGCAGAACATTCATTGTATATACGGCAACTCACTTCGCTCAATCTGATGTTGAACTCCATGGCTGCCCAAATGATTGAAGCCTTATTTTAATTCGAGCTCTCAGAATGCAGGATACCGAAAAAAGCCAATGGTGACTGCAGCACCCTACCGAAAGGCTTTGCAAGAATGCCACTTGCCATGCTGCTGGAGAGCTATGTTTTTGTTGTCACCCCTGCAAGTGGTCACGCACTGAGCAACCCACTAAAAGCTCAGCAAGCCATCAGCGATCTGATAAAATGATTGGAGTTAGGCCCAGTTTTGCTTTTTGTTTTATGTTTCACTTTGAGTCACTGGCAAAATGTAAAATGTATCCTAAGTCTACCCCAGACAACATGAAGACTTCCCAGCTATGAAATCCCAACAAGAAGCCCTTCCCGCTGCCCCGTCAGTGACTTCTCCCATCTGCTGCCATTCGGTGAGCGTTCGGAGTTGCAACGGTGGTGCCTTTGGCCGGTCGCAGGTCTGTAACGCCCCTGTCGTGCTTCCAATCGCACGGCATGGCAAAAAACAACGGCCGCTGAGGCTTGAGGTGGGACACGCCCCCAACCTCTACATTGGATTCCTACTGTGGATGCACAAAGTCCATTTTGCACCACGACTTCCCCAATAATGGTTTCGCATGGTTCAAAGTGGTGCAGGAATTTGTCCATCCACAGTATCATTGTGGTTGCGCTCCCAGTGTCAACTTCAGAGATGGGGATCTTGAATTTCCAAGGCGTTTGCGTCTCCATAGATACTGCGGGGGGACGGGGGTGGGGGGGGTGGTAACCTTGGAGTTCTCCAAAGCGCCCGGAAGTCAAAACCCATTTGGTTCCTTGGCTTTCAAGGTACTCAACAGCCTTTCCACGGCTCCCTCATTGGCCCAGGGGGGTTTTGGGCCTTGCGAGGTTGTCGTGAAAACGAATATCCCACTTCGCGGGGCTCCGGTTGAATCCCCAAAAGAGGGGGCTGCTGGGACGGGACGTAATTTTGCCTGGGGGTCAGGGCCCAGGGCCCACTGTCTGCCGAAGGACGCGGTATATCATCAACACTCAGACCTTTTGGAGTCAGGAAGGAGCATGCCCGGAAAGAAGGACTCTGCTCCCCTGCTAAAAGTTGTTTTTGACTTTTAGTGGTTATCTGGAAAAAACCCGTTAGTTGGCTAAAAACAAGTTGAAGTCCTAACATCCAAGCACAATGCACCAAAGAAACGGCTGACCAAAGCGCGAGCGCCACGTGGGCGTCAAGCCCGACGCCCCCGGGAAGGCATGGCGGCATGAGCGACTGACGACATGGCGCAGGCCTTCCGGCTGGATGGCTTCAAATACGGGAAATTGCCCGGGAGGGGGGGGTGGTCCCCGTTCTCGTTCTCCTTAGCCAACTGCAGACTACAACTGTTCAACTGTTACCAGTGATTGTTCGTTGCTCAGACTGAGGCGTTCAACATGACCTGCTGATACCATGGACGGGGAAACTTCTGGTTGATGGGTTTCCCTGGGCTGCCCTCTTTCGGATCCCCTGCCAAAAGTCACTAACTTTCAGTGGGTTAAGTTCGTTGAAACTACCACTAAACCAACCAAGAGCCTGACAGAAACACCTAAGGAACCGCACGGGGGGCCACCAAAACCCCATGGGTTCCGCGGCTTTTCCATCGCGGTGTTTGAGCCTCGGGGCCTCAGAGCTGGCGGTAGAGGTCTGCCGCATTGGCGGGCCCATGGCCCAAAGATCGCAACGCCGCGGCGTTGAAGGCCTGGGGGTTGTCCAGGAAGAGCTGGTGCCCCGCGTTTTCCACCACCTGCCAAAGAAAACATGCGCACGAGGCCCGGCAAAAACCTTTACATAACGATTCGGGCCTTTGCAAACGAGGTCTCTTCAGTGAAATGTTTCATTCTTCAAGGCTGCACAAAATGCACAAGAATCGGATTGAGAGTATGACCAGAACTAAGGAATTTCTGGAGTTGGGCTCATCATCAGGGCACTAATCCCTCTTGCCTGTGGGAACAAATGGCGAAAAAATGTGCAGAACGGTTGGGAATAAGTTGGGAACATGTTGGGGCAAAGTTGGGAAAAGGGTTGGGACGCAAGTTGGAAAAAGTTGGGCAAAGGTTTTGAACAAGCTCGGAAAAGGTTGGGACAAAATTGGGAAAGGTTGTGAACAAGTTGGGAAAAAGGGACGGGAAACAGGTCGGGGAACAGTGGGGAAATGTTCGACAAAAAGTTGGTAACAAAAGTTGGGAAAAGGTTGGGAGAAAGTTGGGAAAAGGTTGAGAACAAATTGGGAACAAGTTAGGAAAAGGTTGGGACAAATTGGGAAGCCGTTGAGAACAGGGAAAAGTTTGGGACAAGTTGGGAAACGCTTGGAGAAGAGTTGGGAAACAGTTGCGAACGGGTTGGGATGAGGATCATAATGGAAAAGCAGCGGCTGTGAGGGCCTTGCAGGGCTGGCACTGTGCGTTTTTGTTTTGGGGGGGCCCAGCTCTTTGTGGGGACTATCCAAGGTTGTTCAGGAGTATCTAGCTTTTCGTGGGGATTGCGCAGCTTCTTGTCATTTTCTCTGGTTTGTTGTGCCTAAAACCAGCTTCCAACAAGACCATTCCTGAAACGGTATGACTGGTACGCATTTGAAAAAGAAGGCAAAGTCATGGTGGGTATGGTGACCTCTTTTGGGCGGCTGGGTATGACTTTCATTGATCATTTTCTTTCTTTTTTCTGGAAAAAGACATAAACACAAATGGAACATTCAACACCATGTAACAGCAGTTTCAAATGGGGACCATTCGGTGGACATCATTAACCTGGGACATTTGCGTCCACCTTTTTGGAGGGTGGTCCCCATTAAAAACATGGCCACATGTGCAATCAAACATTAGTTCGACGTACCTTTCTGAGCCTTGGGAACAAGGACACTTGCCACTCAGACCTGCAAATACCGACATTCTCGGACACATCTCTGCCCAAAAAAAGGCCAAAACCCAAACAGGGTAGTGTCTGGCGATGCGATTTGGTAAATGATCTGCACATCTGAAAGGTGAACTCATCCCTGTGTGGCTTGCGTGCGAACAATGCTCCACCCCGCAAGCATGATCTAAAAACAGAACCCGCTTTGGACCTCACTTTGACATGAGCAGCTTGCAAACAAACGAATGTCGAGCCCCCTGTCATCAATCGGGGCGGCCTCTGTGGAACAACATGTCACTAGGAAGGGGCCCGACTTCAAGCAGTCACTTCTTGATCAACGCTTCCCCCGTTTGTGTGGCTTCCTTGCACTTGAACCCCGGGTTTCTTTGGCAACCGGATGATGGCCTAGTCATTCCGTGCCGACTAGAACACATCAACGACCAGACTTCCACTGCCTATGGGAAAAGGTCACCCTAGTTTGGTTGATTGCAGAGGGAACTCCCCTCCACAAACAGGAAACAAGGGACACTGGAAGTTTGCTGTCAGGATGGACAAATCGATATATGGCACACGAACAAGTTTTTGATTGGGCGTCTCGTGAATACTGGCTCCCTACATTTCCCCTTTGAACATCACCCCAGAAGGAAGCTTCACTTTACCTCGGCCTGACATGTGCATTTCAAAACCTCCAAAGTACGAATTACTTGGCGCTGTGTCCAAGTGGCGATGATCTGAGTCTCATCACGCAGCTGCCGGGCGAGCCAAGCTCCGCCATTCACATCCATCCAGTCCTGACAAGCTTGTCAGAAAAAAATAAAAAAATAAAAAGAAAAAACAAAAAACAAGTACAAGAAGCGAACCCGGTCTCACCGGCACACGTGGACACTCCAGCCGTTTCTGGTCTCACAGGAGCATGTGGTCGCTCAAAGTACTGCGCCTGGCACGAAATCCAGCACCGCATCTGCACTCTCGCAGGCGCGTGCGCGTGCTAATTTTGCGCGCGGGCGCAGCTTTTCAAGCGTCGGAGCACGCAGCGGCTCGGGTCTCACAGGAGCACGTGAGCGCTCCAAACCACTCAAAACAGCGTGCCTGCTACGAAATCCAGCTGCAAAACCCACGCGGGACCTGGCTTCAACTGCACTCATGCAGGTCGCTTCACAAGCATGCGCGTGCCAACTTAGCGCGCGGGCGCAGCTTTTCAAGCGTCGGAGCACGCAGCGGCTTGGGTCTCACAGGAGCACGTGAGCGCTCCAAGTCACTCAAAATAGTGCGCCTGCCACGAAATCTAGCTCCAGGAAGGACTGGCTTCCTTGTGTGCGGGGCGGGGGGGGGGATGGTAAGCACACCCGCTCAAGCGCACCCGCTCGGCACTGCATCCACGCACGCGAAACAGGAAGCGCACCTGCATCCACGCATGCGGGTCAGCGGCTTCTCGCAAGTAGCGAGCTGCTGCCTCTAATGCGGCCGCGGTCGCCGCGACATGAATCGACGTGCCGCCTGATATCGCAGGCGTGCTCACAGCCTTCGCGAGGATCGACTGCGCGTTTTCTGCCGCGCGCCTAAGCTCCTGCGTACGCGCGATGTCCTCGGACGTGATCGGAGCCGCCATGTTGAGGTCACTCATCATGGCAGGCAGAGCGCGCGACTTCCGTTTGCTTGAGCTGCGCTACGCCTGCGTGTCGCGACTCGTGTGGTAAGAACGTGCGGTCACCTCGTGTTGACCTTCGAAGAGCGTCCCTCTAGCCGCTCACTTCCAAGCGCGCGCGACACTACGCACGTAGAGCGTCCCTGTGGCCGCTTCCTTTGCAAAGCACGCAGAAAAGCCAGCGACATAAAGAAGAAGCACGAGGCCGAGTGCAAAACGCAACCGCCCCGTGCATCCCTGGATGGGATCACGCATGGATGAAAGGCTTGCACGCGCGTACGCTACTAGTGCGGTTTGGCTTACATGCGCGTGCGAGGCTCACGCGCTTTGCCTTTTTAGGGGGACACGCGCGGTATCACATGCGCCGGCGAGACCCACGAAAAACTTGCCGTAACTTGCCCAAAGTACCGCACCTACCACGAAATCCAGCCCTCCACATGCGCGGGCGAGACCAAATTTACGTGCGCCTGCGAGCCGAAAACCACGTGCGCTCGCGAGGCCGTGACCTCAAGAACCATGAAGAACAATTTTTGTGTGAAGGGCACCAACCACGTAAAAATGTGCTTGATTCTCTATGCGCAGCTGATGAACCTGCCTTGCTGCAAACTCTTGTGGCCGGTCTCTACATAATTGTGTTTTGTTGTTTTCGTTCGAACTCCCAGAGGGGATCCCTTGAATTGTGAGATCCAACAGCTTGAGTCAACATATCTAATCTATGCTTAATGTGCGGTTCTTTCCCAAAAACAGTATTCTCTAGTATTCTCATGTACTTATTGGGTAAGAGCATGTTTTATCGTTCGAATCTCCCAAACCACAACTGAGAGCCTTGTGTGGCAAGGGCTCGGGAAGAGGCCCCAGAAGAATCATTGAAAGGCTGTCGAGTTGGTTGTGGGAAGGCGTGGGTTTAAGAGCCTCTGCAATCACGCGAGGTAGCCATGGGCATGGGAAGCCCACTTTGATGCTATAGGACAGATCATTTTCCGGAATCTTGAGGATCTTGAGGGCATTGGTGAGATTCCTTTGGGCTGATCGGAATTCAAACGATGCTCAAAGCCCTGGTTGATCTGGGGGTCCATCTTAGTGGCAATTCACTTTTGGATTTCTCCGCTGGCTTAAGCCAGGCTAACATATACCTGGATCTTCCTGCATGCTCAAAATTTCCGCCTTTTCGCTACGAATTGCTTTTTGGGGCAATTGCGCGTGTTTTTTGCCTACGGCTTTTTTGCTCAATTTGGGTGTTAAGTGAAATCTCCCCGAATCTACAGGCGAAAATTCCCGACCAACAGGCGAAAACTCCCGACCAACAGGCGAATATTCCCGACCGCGGCGCAAACAAATAGGACCGCCGGCGTTTTTTTCGCTTTAAAAGCATTTTTTCATACCAAAGGCAAACAACACATGTTTTTTGACCAACGCCTAAAATTTTGGACCCCCGGAAGGTGCAGGTATGGACGACGCTTAAAGGGGACCACCCTCAACGCTCATTCCGGTGAAATGCAGCTGAATGGAACTCACAGGCTGGGTGCTGGTTTTGATGGCGAGTCCCTCAGGGGTCCCATGATTCCCTTGCAAAAGTTCCAAATCACTGGTGAGTTCCAATGAGACAGCCGTTGTGTTGTTGGAGGTTCCATTTTTTAAAAGAAAACACTGGACATGTCCCCGCTCTTTCCAAATGAGGGCATACAGTGCTATGTTGTCCATTGCGCCTTTGCCAGTGCCTAAACTGCCTCGTCCCAATATTCAACCTGGGATGTGATTTTGGGTGCCTCTCTCTCACTCTCTATTTCCTTCTTTCCTTCCTTCTCGCCCTCTCTCTCTCTCTCTCTCTCTCTTCCCTTCTTTCTCTCTGCCAGAATTTATTTCTTTCCTTCCCTCCCTCCTTGCCTCCCCCCTGCCTCCCCCCCTCCCTCCCCCCCTCCCTCCCCCCCTCCCTCCCTCCCTCCCTCCCTCCCTCCCCTCCCTCCCTCCCCCGTCACCTGCTGCCCGTAGAGCAGCGTCACCGGCACCGCCGATTCCGCCTCCGCCAGGCGCCGCGCCAGGCGTGGCGCCAGCGGAAGTTTCGGCCAGGCCCCGAAGTCCAGCAGCTGGCCCAGGCACCTCGGCCACGGCTTCGGCCACGAATTTCCGCTGCTGCCTCTGCTGGCCCCATCCAAATATGTATATATATATATAAGTTAATTTCATCCTATTCGGCTGTCAATTTCGTTTGTTTAGCTGTTGCAACTTACACAAATGGCCTGCCTTTGGCCAGAAATTCGTCGGAACAGCGCGAGAGGTTCCCAGCACTCAAAGAAATTTTGCAATTCCCACATTGCTGATCAAAGAGGCAATCATCGCCATGTTCGTGGTTGTTGAAAAAAACAGCCAGGCTACTCACAGAGAGATTGGAGCTCTTTTGGCCCAAACAGCCTGCTGATTGGCCAAAGCTGACATCTAGCAATGGCTCCAAAGAAGCGGCCAGCCAGGGTTTTGAAACCCAAAAGGTCTTTACTGGACTCTGAGTCTGACCACGGTGAGGCTGGGCGCTGCAAAAACCAGAAGTTGAAGTGGCAACGGTTCAGACTTGTTTTGCCCTTCATCCCTGCTTTGGAATATGTTCCTGGCACATGTTGACAACTGTTTGGCCGACACTAAGTTTGCAACCTAGTGGGGTCAAACAAGACTGCAGCGATAATGCTTTCTAGGTTTACATTTGCAGTGAAGGCGCAGCTCTTTCAAGATGAGCTGGATGAGGATGTGGGACACTTGCTTTGAACTCCAGATAACTCCAGCTTTGATCAGTTGCTGCTGGGGAACAGCAATCATACTTTCTTCAAACCGAGGAAGGAGGTGGATCTGGTTGCTTTCATAGACAAAATTCCCTTGATAGTACTGAGTCCGAACAACCCTGTGATTTGTATAGCTTCATCGCAAGTGTGCCGCAACCCAGGAACCGACAAGCACGGGGCGAAGGGTGACCTCGATGACGACGGGGTGCCCCTGCCAATGAGACTTCCTGAGCCGACCCTAGCCTTTGGTTAGTTCTTTTTGTTGTGTTTTGACATTTGTTTGTTGTAGAAACATCTTCCCCGTTTTAGAGCCCGTTAATAAAGATCTACAGGCCAGCGGGTCCGACCACTGTCGCTCAGCTCTTCCAGTGGGCCACCGTGGTGATCCAGCGCTTCGAGTCACTCGAAGCCGCTTTTGGTCCTTCCTTTTATTGGGCTAAAGGGTGGTGTTTTAGTCCGTGAGAAAAGCTGTAGCAACCCAGTAGGCTGGCTCCACTACACAAAACGTGCTCAGGGCTTCAACCGCTTTTGGAGTTGGCAGCCTGTCAAGGCTAATCTTTGGTGCTGATGCGGTTATGTCTCGGCTTCGAAACACTAAGCTGCACATGGACATGTGGTTCACCGGCGGCGACTTCGCAGCATGTGCGCTCACTCAAATCGCTGCAGCAGTTCGCAGAAGGTGGCTTTGAGTCCTTAAGCCGCCTTTCTTGTTGTTGGTTTGAACAGCTTATGGAAACAGAAATCAGCCTTTCTACGCCCACCAGTCTAAGTGTTTCTCGAAATTGGGGTCCATTCAAGGCAAGTGGTTTTATTTTGAGTTCCTTCTAAAACCGTCCAAACAAGGGTTCCCTTTTAACACCGTACATTCACGTGGTTTGGCCAAGGTACGGGTTTGACATGGAGATTGCCGTGGGCCGGGCGTGTGACATTGCTGGGTATTCCCAGAAGCGACCTGTCAGCAATGGCATGTTTTGCCGTTTTGCGTTTTCACTTGTTTGTTCGTAGCTGAAAATGTACTCAAGTTCCCTCATTTTCGGGGGCTCAAACATTGGCTCGCTTTATGGGGCGGCTAGCTGCCTGACCAGCGGTTCATTCTGAATCGCTTGTCAGGCAGCTAGCCACCTCATCCGGCCCATTGGATTTTCAGGGTGAAACTTTGGCCGAGGCCACGCGCAGCGTGCATTAACAGGAGGGCTTGAAACATTGACAGATTGTTTGGCCAAACGTGGCCAGGTTCATCCGAGCAAACTACAACGATCGCTGCTTCTTCAGCAACATTCTGAATTTTGTGAAGGACCCCAGCAAACCACAGGAAGAAATGAAGCTGGCGCCTCGGCACTGACTGGTTTGTTTCATGCTTCTTTGATTCAAATCCCCCGCCGTACCTGAACCTGAACATTTTGGCTGGTGAATCTTTCGATGAATGTTTGGACACCCGACGTTCGGGCGTCGGCCCTCAGGAGAGCGCATCCCACTGCCTCACCCACAAAAGGGCATGCCCCCGTCGAGCGGCAGTGCCCAACAAGTGGACCAAAGCTGCCTGCGATTGGCCGCCTTGCGTTTTGTTCAGTAAGACACCTAGCATCACCTAAGTACCCTTTTTCCTATTGTTCATCAAGACTAAACAAGATGAACAGCTGTTGCGCACGAGTCTCAACCAAGGATGGGAAAGAAAGAGGGGATGCAAACACAAGATGTGCAAAAGAGAAAGTGCCACGATGCCTACGTCATTGACAAGCTCGACCAGGGGAGCCTAGGCCCAACTTGAGTGCTTTACAAAACTAAGACCGCTAGTCGTTTGCAGCTGAATAGAAAGAACCTGTTGCATAGCCTTGAACTGGACAAATTTCAACCCCGACAAATGCTTAGCGTATCAGGCTGGATTGGTTCATCCACGAAAACGTGCCCGAGTACCCCGGGGAATTCGCCGAGATACCGTTCCAGAAGGCTGGCTACAAGTGTGAGAGCACGATCATCACACCGCAACGCTTTGGCAAACCGATGAGCAGGCGTGCTTTCGTGCAAAAAATTTGGTCTATATTGTTTGCCCAAGCAGTTTTCGTGCTGGAGTTGCTATGAAGCCGTTCGAAAAACCGCTGGAAGGCTTCGCTGCTACAGGCTCTTCTACTTGGAGAGCAAGTACACTTGGGATGGGCCAAGCCTTCGCCAATTGCTCAAGCTTGCTTTGCCTCACCGACCTTTGTGCTTGAATGCCGACGACATGTTCTTCCTCCGCAAAAGCGAGCTGGTGCCACTAGCTGAAACTGTCCCACATTTTGTTCATTTTGTAACCTTTTTGTGCCTTTGCCCAAACGCCACTTAAGGTGGAGAAGTATGGCATGTCCGACCTCTTCGATGTGGCCTTGAACAGTTCGGGCCAGGAGCACATGAACTCGTACAAGCAGAAAGCCCCGAATTCGCTGGTATGGGAGACTTGCATCCAGGTAACATGTTGTGATTTAGTCCGTTGTTTCTGTTTTGCTGCCCTCATGTTTGAACGGTTCCTACTTTATAGCCGCAACACACCCATCAGGATTTGTCCCAAAATCCAGAGAAGGGCCGTGGGCGGAAATCCGACAAAGACGGCAGCTTGCCGACATTCACAACTTCAAGCTCCGTACTGCAGCTTGCCTCAATGGTAACATGTTCCTACAGGCGCGTGCAAAGAAACCAAAAAACAACCAACAACAAACACGCGAAACATGCCAACACAAAAGCGCAACAGAACAAATCACAACGCAACGCGTATACACACACATAGCTGCGAAGAGGTGGGATTGACTGACGAGTGACTCAGAGACATGAAACAACCTCGCATTACCGGCCAGCCAGCCAACCGACCGACCAACCAACCAACCAACCCAACCAACCCAACCAACCCAACCAACCCAACCAACCCAACCAACCCAACCAACCCAACCAACCCAACCAACCCAACCAACCAATAAGCCAATTAACCAACCAACCGACCAGCGACCGATTAGCCTCCAAACGCACATTATAAGCAAGAGCCAGCAAGCAAGCCAGCAAACAAAGCGGATTAGATACTTCGCAAAGCAAGGGAATAGGTAGAATCAAACACAATATCGCCCAAGTGAAGCTGATCTTCACCAATCCCAGTTTGTCAACATCTGATGTTGCTTCATTGGTTCTGTTCCTGGGCAAGGTGGTCTCAGCGCCACCAGCGGTGGCTGGTGGGCGACGAGCTGCTTACCACCATGGGCATGCCGGCCGTGCAGCGAATTGCCGAAGGCGCTGGAGTTCCAGCGGTTGACACCACGATGCTTTCACAGCACTCCAAGGCCTGGGCCTTGACCAACTGCGTTTTTTACTTGCTTTGTTTTGCCACCCTGGCCAAAGGCTTTCATGGCTGGGAATGGAATGGACACTGGATCAGTGGGATTCGTGATCTTAGCAGAACTCCTGCCATGTTTATTTGCCGCTCAGCCCCTTCTAGAACGTGAGGTCCATGTTACATTGCGCCAGGCACTTCTGTGCCTGCAGCCGAAGGAGAACAAGGAGACACATCAGCAGTTAACTCATTGTCACCCAGCATTCAATTGCATCTAATGCAGGCCCACCCAGCCACCCCAATGCAAAAGGCTTCCAGAACCTTGACTGGTCCGTTTGGCCCCCGACCTATGTTTTTGACATATGTTTTCTGTCAAGCAAAACCCTAAACTGATTGATGGCCAGGAGCTCCATGGACAAGTCCAACTTGCGCCTTTCAAGAAGAGACGAGCCACGCCGCGCGCCCAGTCACTCAGCCAATCGAAGTCAAAACTCCCTGATTCAGCGCGGTAGCGTCACACTCTTGCAACTTCCCGCAGGCTTTTTGAAAACCAAAAAGCGGAGTAGCGACCTTTTTGTGGCAAACAGTCTTCTGTAGGAGATTCGTGCCATAAGAATGCTAAGATGATCAGGCGAGGGCATGAACCTGGACAAACAAGCACTGCTTAATGTTGCACTGCGAAACCATGAGTAGCGACTGCGTGCAATGGCCACTGCCTTGTTTCAAGATGAGCCGGATGAAGATGAGCCTACCGCTGCCCTTTTTCAAGAAGAACCTGATGAGGAAAGCCGCGCAGCTGTCACTGTGCTTTGGCAACCTGAGCCTGATGAGCCTGGTGAGCCTGGTGAGATACCTCGGCCTTGCGTCCTTGGCACTGAACCTGATGAACCTGATGAACCTGATTCTGACGCTAGCAGTGCTTCGGATGGCTCCGCCTATATGGCTGACAATGAAATGGGCGGCCACACTGAACAGAAGTCCTTGTTTGAGCTGTCGTTCAAGACCATATCCAACTTCTTGGCTACTCAACTTGCCAC